TCACCCAAAAAATAATTAGGGGGGGGGGGCTGGTCACAACAACTTTATTATTTTAGGGCCTTAAAACATTTTCCCTAAATTTTATTTAAATAAATTTTAAAAAAAAATATGAAATAGATTTTGTGTAAAACTGGGATCAATATACCCTTATATACTTGCATACACAACATTTATTTTTTAAACTATATCAAACTTCATGTAACATATTTGTTTATTAGATCAAATCATCGATCTCCAATTTGTTTATCTTAGTCATTAAGTGTAGTGTTAATTTTAAAAAAATGAAATAATATATTGTTGATATGTTAATAAAAATATAACTAAATATTTGATATTAAGATGGTTTGTATAAGGTTAGTGCAAGTGCATCAAGCTCCCAGTTAGGAGTCCTAGTTAGCAAGCTCTCAAGAGCTCTCAAGCATTTTAGAATAAAAATTAAAAAATAAGTCTTGGGAGGCCCTCCTTCTTTTATGGAGCTCCAACAAGCTCCTAGTTAGGAGCCCCTAGTTAGGAGCTCCAACAATATCAAAAAAAAAAAAAACTCTCTTCTATTTTAATATTTTACCCATTACTTTTAATTATATTTAAACACTGCCTTTTTAGTTGACGAGGGGGTCTCCGCCACTCAAGTCGATGAGGGGGTCTCCGCCCTTCAAGTTGACGAGGGGATCTTGGCCCTTCGAGTCGACAAGGGTGTCTCCGCCACTTCGAGTTGACGAGGGGATCTCGACCCTTCAAGTCGACGAGGAGGGCTCGGCCACTTGGTCTTCGAAGTGCATACTGACACCGCCCTTCGAGTCGACAAGTGTCCGCTACTCAAGTCAACGAGGGGGTCTCCGCCCTTCGAGTCGACGAGGAAGTCTCGGCCACTGGGTCTTCGAGGTGCGGACTAACACCGCCCTTCGAGTTGATGAGGGGGTCTCTGCCACTTCGAGTCGACGAGGGAGTCTTGGCCACTTGGAGTCGACGAGGGGGTCTCGGCCACTTGGTCTTAGTGAGTCGACTAGAAGGTCTTTGCCGCTTGGTCTTAGCGAGTCGACTAGAAGGTCTCGGCAACTTGGTCTTGGTGAGTCGACTAGAAGGTCTCGGTACCCTGGACTTGGCGAGTCGACTAGGGGGTCTTGGTAACTTGATCTTCGAGGGGCGGACTAACACCGACATTCGAGTCAACAATGGGGTCTCTACCATTTGAGTTGTCTGGGGGGCTGGACTCTTCAAGGAGTCGGTCATTCGAGTCATCTGGGGCTTGGACTCTTCGGGGAGTCGGCCTGAGTCGGGTGGACTCTTAAGCTCTTTTGCTTGTTCTAAGTTGTTGTGTAGGGATAAAGGAAATTTTTATTGCCTACAGTCACATCGATAGTGACCCATCAATAACCCCTCAAAAATGCGCCTCGAAACTCGACCGCAACAGTTCGATTTCACTCAGACTCTGTCGTCCGAGTTCAAACGAAAGGGGCTAATGTCATGCCATAAAATGTTCTAAGTGTTAATTCTCCCCCAGGAGTTGACACGTGTCCCAAATTAACTACGCATCATCTCAACTTAACCCTAGGTAGGACGAGTCCAGTAACATCATCACTCGTCCCTTACCAAGAAGGGCTTAGTAGAAAGACGTTCTCACTTGAGCCCCGCAGTTTAGGATGGATCTATGCATCTTCATTTGGCAAGACCGGATCGAGAACCTCCCAGTCCAAGCCGGCAAAGTAAAAAGGCATCCTTTGTTGGCCCTATTGCAAAGCCGAGTCGCAAGGCGGTCACTTTTGAACCTTATGCAGACAGCTAATCACCATCACATTAAATGTATGGTTGGAGTCATAATTACTCAACCTAAAAGTTTTAATGACTCAGTAGAGACCTCATCAGCTCTACCACCACCACATTAATCACAAGGGTGACTCATACCACCATAGCCGACACATGTAGAGTCTCAATTGAATAAGATGACTACCTGGACTCGGTCAAAATTACATAAACACCGTCGTTAGCTGGGTATAAATAGGCACACCACTTACTGACTAAAGGTACGCAATTTTTGCACACTTAGAGAAAACTATATCAGTTCTTTGATCCCCTTCAGGTCATGACTAACTTGACCATCGGAGGAATTAGCAAAGAATCTAATTCTGGTCCTCTAACATGTTGTAGTTTTACAGGACTTCCTTCCCATCTGGGATCAGCGATCAAAGGAGATGAAGGGATCCTGATCTCCTCAAAAACAACCATAAACCCCACTGTTAATCATTTGTGCATCAACAGAACTAATTCTTCATTGCACACAGTGCATGGTTATATAGTAAAGTTGTGTCTAAAATTTTTTAACACCTTTATAATCAATGTTAATATATATAGATTTTAACGAGTATTGTTCAAATGGATAGAAAGTATCTTACTTTTAGAAAACATGAGGGAGTTATTTTCTAGTAGTGAATTAATTATAATGTTTTTAGATCTTTCTAATTTTGTCATTCTAATTGGTTTTGATGTACTATACTTAATAATAACAATATATCTCAGATGTCCTTGTTAAAAGTAGGGCTGACAATGGTACACAATTCCATTCCAACCAATTCATGTACCAACCGTACCAAATACGTTGGTATACCATCAAATTGGTACATGGTACACGGTACAGTATACCGTACCAGCTTCAAAATATGGTACGGTAGGTGGTACACATTTTCCTCTACCATGGTATACCGTACCTACCAACTTATATTATATTAAATTATTTAATATATAAATTATATATATATCCTTAAATCTCAACCATAGATTTAGGGAAGATAAATCTCAACCGTACCTACCAAATACGTTGTCTAACTCTTCTATTTCACATTCATTTTATGACACAATTGGTGGCTTGCAAATGAACATTAACTAGCATACATGCAGTTTTCGTTTGATTAATTAGGTTCAAGTTATTTTGCTGCTTTATATGGTTTTTCCCTAATCATCTAATATGATTTCTCACTTCAATATAATGTACAGTGTCATGGAACTAGTTGATGCTGGTGTCCCCTTACCTACCTTAGCACCGATCAAACAGACTATAACTCAAGTTGAAGGCGTGAAGGTATATCTTAACTCCTATCAAGAACTTGGTTGCCCATTGTCTCTTAAAAGGACAAATTTTTAAAAAAGACCCTTTTTAAAACTATCTGTAATGCAAACACACAACTACACTAACTCAAAACAAGCAAAAAAATCAAAAAAAAATCAAAAAAAAAAAAAAAACTCAAAACAAGCAAGAAAAACTTATACTATATTCAATATTATATTCAATGAGTAATTACTTAACCTGAGGACTTTGGCATGTTCAATTTATGACTTCATATTCGGTAATTTGGTCTTTGGCAGCATGAGAATTATGCTCTTTTCAATTTTCTGCAATGGTGTTGTTGAGCTGGGCCTTTAAATTTTTGGGCCATAAATATCTTGGTAGAAACCCAATACCAACCGTACCAACCGAGTACCAACCGTACCAAGTAGTTGGTATACCAACGTTATTGGTTGGTAGAAATGGTGAATTTTTCCTACCAATTATATATTGGTTGGTACTTGGTACTAGGAAAATATAATTGGTATACCTACCAATCCAGCCCTAGTTAAAAGACCTTGCCAATAGAAGACTTTTGCCAGGAGTCTGCCAGGGTAGGATTGCTTCCCCTATTTGTTGCCACATCAGACATGATCCTATTGCTTTAAAAAAAATTGGTTCTTGCTCATAAAAATTAATCAAAAAATTTTTAAAAAAAAACAATGAACGGATTTAAAGAAATACCAAGAAAAGGACATCACCCTCTCATATAAAATGGCACAACTTCGCACCATGGAGGGTAAGCTCCGATTCAAGGTCAGACTCTTGTTCTAAAGTTCAGGCGCCGCTAGTGTGTGCAATATATCACAAGTTTTTCATTCGTCATCGTTCTTGTCGCTCGGATTTTGATCACATTGTCTCCTCCTTTTCCCAGAGCCTTCTGTTCTTATCTTAATGACCTTCAAGCAATCCGCTCATACCCTAATCTGAAATTTTCTCTGCGGCTTATGCCCTAACCTAACTTTCGTTCTTTGGATTATGTCGCGTTGGAGCTGCTGAAGCTACAAAAGCAATCCCATTTCTGGTAACCAAACAAGAACGAGATCTATAAGTAACCTGATCCAGATCAATAAAAAGGTTTGTTTTTCAGATAATCAATAATAATAATAAGGTAAAATCCATGTTTATTGTGTATTAGCCTGCAAAATTTAAGGGGGTAAAAAAAAGACTAGTCATATGTTTAGAACTTGTTAGGTATTTTCCCCGATAAATAACGCAATACAATTAACTTGTTGAGGACAGCACCCCAATTTTCCCATTCTCCTACCCACCTCCGTCGCCCACGCTCGACCCCCATCACACCCTCCGTCCCAAACCAAAACCCACCCAGATCTCTCCTCCCCTTTTATTTTTTTCAATCCATGCCCCCAAAAACCCCAACCCTAATCATGTCCAAAG